AAAAAAAAAATTGATGCAGATCTCTTGTACTAGCTCTGGTCCTAAGTATAAAAATTAATTAAAAATTAAATCTAGTCCTAAATATAAGATTATAATATATTGTATCTCTTAAATTTATAATGTTTTTTTCAAAATATCCCTATCGATTGTAAGGGGTCCCATCAAGAGATAATTCTAATATGAATGATTTAAAAGATTTAACACTTATTTGTTATAAATAATCAATTTAACTAATTTCATTAATTTTTTCAAATTAGTTGTATAATTCTTATATTAATTATGGGATTTACAGAGACTTGAGAGAGAGAAATCAAAAAGAGGAAGGAGACAAAAAGGAGGACTTGAACCATCGGATTGAAAAAATAGCTTTTTTAATTTTTCAAAAAATGTATAATCATTGTAACTTTCTTTACAATCTAATGGTTAATATTCCTTTCATCGAGGCAATTAAATGGAAATTTGCCGATTGAATATAATTTCAAAAGAAGAAGAAGGGAAAAATAGTTTTGTGTCTTATGCAAATAGCAATCTTGAATAGTTTATCGGTGCTAGTCTTGCTCAATTTGATTTAAGCTTGTGTTGCCTGTAAATCAGGCTTCAATGTGTCCTTTACCTCCTTGACTAGAGCATTGAAATCTAATCTTTTATGTATTGTTTCACCTTTTTTTTAATAAAATATTTTACTATTTAAAAAAAAAGCGTTAGGGTGCAATTTTGTTTTAAAATTTTTTACATAGGAATTACGGGTATTTAGAAGTTTTTTGAATCAATATTATACTGGAAGTATTTTTAAAAAAAGAAGTGCAATACCGTCGCTGGCCACTAAAAAATGTCAAAATTATTTTTTTCACAATTAAAATGATTTTTCTCATTTTAACATTTTTTTGCCAACATTTTTTAACACTTTCAAGATAATATAATATTGATTCAATAAAAAGTTTTAAATACCCACAATTCCTACGTCTAAACTTAGTCATTAATCAAAAGCGGGAACAAAAGAAAAAGGAAATCAGAGTAGTTAGGCGCCGCTCCACATGAAACCTCCCCAGTCTTCACCTCTTTTTGTGATCTCCGCATTTTATGGCCCTTTTCCATCCACTTTGCATTTTTTTTTAATGTTGAATTAACTTCAAATTCATAACAAAATCATTTTTGAAGAAAATAAAACTTTTGTATTACGTTTTTACCAATATTTTATGATTTTATTCATTTTATTTTCGCTCATTTTTCTATCTCTCTGTTATATTATTTCCTCTTTATATCTTTTATTTTACCAAATATTAACGTGCCAAATCTTCAAGGTGTTTAATCAAATTACCTTTTCTATATAAAAGAAGAGAGAAAAAAGCAAAATAAATAAATAAATAAGCAATTGAGATTGTAAGACAATGAGGGACGAGGGTTCTTATCCACCATTCCTTTTGGTTTTGCTTTGAAATTGTAAGATAAATGTAAGAGGCAGCTGAAGGGTTTATTTTGATATGTAAGACTTTCATTAATTTAGTTTCTCTTGAAAATTTGTAATCTTTTCTTAATTTATTCTTATCCATTACACATTTTAAAGAAATAATTTTATTAATGGGTAGTTTCAATAGAATCAATTAAAATGGATATTTTAGAAAAATGATATACATTTTTTTGTATGAAAAACTGATTTGATTATTTTTTTAAATTTTTATGAATTAATTACCTTGAAGGCATAAGAAAATAATATAGACTAAGGCTTCGCTCGAAACCAGGATTTAAAACACTTATAAGTGTATTTTAGATAAGTCAAAATAAAATTTTTCTCACCTAATTAACTCGTATTTTATAAATTATAATTAAAAAATTATTCATAAATCATTCTAAATAAGTTCTAATCTTTCGTGGTTTATTTTAGCTTATCTGCAGAGATTTCATGGGGATATCATTGACTTTAGCCTTTGTACAATTTTATGACGTGGAATTTTTTTTAATAAGAAAAAAGACAAACGACAAAGCATAGTTCTACATTGATTTTTTTTGTTTTCAAGAACCAACATAGGAAGTTAAGGTTTCTAATTAAAATTAATGATAATATTTATCTACATTTAAATCCAACTGAAATATCAAAATCTAAAATTAAGCCTATACTTTAAATAAATTCCTTAGGAATTTATAAATACTGTTAAAAGTCTAGAATATCCTCTATAATTGTGATATGAGTTGTTACTATGTTTGTCTCCCTCAAATTCTTTTCCTGATTTTTTTGTCAGATTTTGTTGAATTTTCAAAATACTAAATTTTTAATAGATGGTAGGAGATTACAACACAGTTCTCGATTTACATTGATAATTACTCCAACACCTTCATCAATATTAATGGTCCATCCTCCATATACTTAATAATGTATATACATATAATTTTTTTCATTAAACACATACATTGTTTTAATACATGTACATTTTAAGAGTGAAACACTTATTCAAGCAACAACTTTTTACAGATCTTTTAGGGTGCATGAGTAATTACTAATATGGATTGAGATCAATGTTATAATTTATTATTTTTATATTTTAAGAAAAGAATTTGTGAGGAAGAAAAATATATATAAAAGTAACATCTCATATCTTGATTACAGAGACGCTCTGGTTTTTATCTGTTTTAGATATTGTTGGATTAGTATCTGTGTTATCTTTTTGTAATGTTTTTCTGTTTTGAGACTTCACACCTCCAATTTGGTCCTGATCAAGGATTAATTGATGGTTTTACATGTATCATTTTATCGTTTTATTAATTTATAAATTGACTTTTTTCAAAAAAAAAATCCAAGGGAAATTATTACACATGCTCGCATCAGAATTTAAGCATAATTATAGAAATTTATTTTATTACCTTTAACGAATTCAGTCAATTTTTTTATTTACATATAATTCGGTTAGTTATATATCATTTAAAAAAAGAAGAAAGTGATTATAAAAATTTTGAATAATTAAATAGGTAATCTGGCTACCTAGAATGAAGAAGTGGAAGCTGAAAACCAGTCAACTCGTAATCTATTTTGAATTTTGAATACGAAACAGTGCCACCCGCGTGATTTGCATGGCCATGGCCTTCCCCATCAACGTACACCTAGCCTCAACGCTCTCAAGAAAGTGACACTATTCCACCTTTAGTACAAGTTTTTATTTTGGTATAACCATTCTTAGTAAGATGACTGTAATAAGCTAGATGAGCAACAATCACATTTAAAATCTCAATAAATCAATTTAGGGTTAACATCAATTTTTAGTTCTTCAAATTTTATCGCATTTTTTATTTTCATCTCTAAAATTTAAAATAGGTGTTTTATTTTGTCCTTAAAACCTGCACTGTTTCATAAACTAAAAATCTTCATGCATACTAAAATGTGGTCAAATTTTAGTAGCTAAAAATAGTATTAACTTATCGATTTATTTAATGGTGCTCGCTTCATGGATCAAATTAATCAGGCCAAGCCTGTAGACTTTTAAGTCAGATTTTAAACTCAAAAGCCTAGCATTTTTACCTTAAAGGGCCTCTAAATAAGTTTTATGCATGACCATTTGTTAAATAGGTCAAATCGACCAAGCTCCAATTAGGTCAGCCTGTAAATTTCTGATAAGAGCCTAGCTTATTTTAATATCTACCTAAAATATTAACACTAGTTCATTCTCTCTTCCCTAATTTGTATTGTTCACTTAAGCATAATAATTGTTACAAGTTTATTTTAATAATAACCAAATGAAATAATATTAATCTGCATAAGAGGAGTATATTGTCCCAATTTTTACTGAAAAAGTAAAAGGGATAAAATGCAGTTTTTACCTGCACTGTCATTTGTTGTGCGGATTGATTTTAGAAAAGTATATCTCCTTAGTTTAATGGAGGCTTTTGAATAAGCTTGAAGAGTTATATACATAATTGAAAGCATATATTTTTAAACCTATTTAAAGACTAGTATTTTAAATAAGTCTTTAAAAAGACTTCAGGCTTTTTGAAGGCTCAAGTTTGAGTCTAAAAAAAAAAAAGCCTACATATATGCTTAGGTTTAAGTTTCAAATTTTTGTTGGAAGCTTAGGACTATTTGATAAAAGCTTAGCTTAGCCTATCTTATCTCCACTGCTATCCGTAGTCCAAATTTTATTGATGAGATTTTGGTCAAATTGTGCATGTTTTATTTTGCTCGATTGCAATTTTGTTTACACATAAATTCAACAAATATATTCATATTTGTTCCCTTAAAACATTATCCACTATGAAAAGTGATTCGTGAACTAACCAACAAATTTAAAAGTAAAAAAATCCACTCCACGTTTGGCAGCTAAACAGGTCAAAGTAGTTAAATAACAAGTCAACAACAACGTACAGCAGTACTATACTACTTTAAAAAAATTAAAAACGTGTTAAATAATTTGGTTTTATGCGATTTTTTTAAAGTATATAATTTCTTAGTTATATTATTAAAAAACTCCAGTTCATTTCTCGTGCTCAACTTCGTATAATAAAATATAAAAAAAATTCCAAAAAAATAACTGTTGAATTTTAAAATACCAAATCAAAAATTACTACAAAAATATATTGTTATTTACTTTTTGAGTGGAATCATTTTTTTATAAGTTTAGTAACCGATATTAATTTAGAATTTTAAAATTCAACAGTTATTTTTTAGGATTTTCTCTAAAATCCATCGATCGGCTCATTTCTAATTCACTTTTACTAATGAAATATGAAAGTTTGATCCTATCCATTAATAAAACCCTGAAAGTGTAGAACCACTCTGGAAGTTACGCGGCGCCAGGAGACTATCGTTTTCCATACTTCTCTCTTTCTCTCTCTCTCTATATCTCATACTCTCTCTCCTCTCGTAACATACAGAACGCCCCGATGATCACCATTTGTTGTCACCCACTAAATTAATTTAATTTAATTACCCAAGTATTATTTACTGTCTATGCCATTTCGTTTCTATATAAATCTTCAGTATCTTCCCGTTCCCACCGCCCCTCCCCCATTGAATTTGATTAGCAAATTCAGCTTCAATTCTTACAGCAACAACACAATAATGTCTTCTGATCTCTCTGTTATCCTTCCTCGTGTTCTTATCGTTTCTAGACGTAGTGTTCGCAAGAACAAGTTCGTCGATTTCGTGGGTTCGTTTCCTTTTTCCTCTCTATTTCTAGCTTTCTTTATCATTATAATGCCAAGATTCATGCATGTGGATATGTATTCCGGTTAAGGGCTTAATTCTTACATTCAGATCACGAATTTAAAACCCCAATTGTTAGAATGATTTCTTATGCCTGGGTTTTTGAGCGAATGTTCATTTTTCTCTTTTCATTGAATTTGTTGTTCGTCTGATTTTCAGGGGAGTATCATCTTGATCTTATAGTGGGGTATGGTGCGGTACCCGTGATTGTGCCTCGTGTTTCTGGGGTTCACATGCTGTTAGATAGCTTCGAGCCCATTCATGGCGTGCTTCTCTGTGAAGGGGAAGACATAGACCCATCTTGGTACGAAGAAGACACATCAGGTCTTTCACAGGAGGAACTTGAAGAGATCAGAAGGCTTCATGCCAGTGATACAGCAATTGATAAAGAAAAAGATTCAATTGAGCTGAGACTTGCTAAGCTATGCCTTGAGAGGAACATTCCCTACATGGGAATTTGCAGGGGATCACAGGTCCTTAATGTTGCATGTGGGGGTACCCTTTTTCAGGACATAGGAAAAGAGCTTTCTAGGAAGTGTCCTGAAAGCCAGAGAGTGGTACACATAAACTATGATGACTATGATGGCCATAGGCATAAGGTGAAAATAGTGGAAAACACACCTCTGCATAACTGGTTTAAGGATTCTTTGGAAGAAGATAAAATGGAGATTCTGGTTAATAGTTATCATCATCAGGGGGTTAAGAGACTGGCACAACGATTTTTTCCGATGGCTTTTGCCCCAGATGGTTTGATTGAAGGGTTTTATGACCCAGATGCTTATAACCCTGAAGAGGGGAAGTTCATTATGGGATTACAGTTTCATCCTGAGAGAATGAGGAAGCCTGATTCTGATGAATTTGATTACCCTGGATGCCCATTTGCTTATAAGGTTTGAATCTGATATACTCTTTAGTTTTAGCTGTAAATTTGATCTGTCACATTAAAATCAATTGACAGGGTGATTACTGATGGAGATTTTTTTTTTTTTTTTTTTAAACTGCAGGAATTTGTGAAGGCAGTGATTGCTTACCAGAAGAAGTTGAATAGTATAACATGTGTGCAAAGGCCTGTAAAGCTTAACAAGGAGATGGAAAACAAGAGGAAGATCATAGTAAGAAGTTTCTCACTTGCCAAAGATATGTACGCCACAGGCAGAGGAATGAACCCTTCCAAGGCGTCTGAACTTGAAGCTGGAGCAGATTTCCTTGAGGTATGAACCTTTTGACAATATTCACAACTTGTTTGTTTTTCCTCTTTGTTTGATCTGCGTCCCGAAGGATTTTCCTCTTGGATTTCATACAGAAACTTACCTCAGATGCATTAGTAGATCTGAACCCCAGATTCATGAAATAAGCAAGACCTCTTGCATGTTTAGTTTTTCTCTTTAAAATCATATAATGTTATTTTCTCTTCCACTAAAGATCCAAATGCAGGCTTTAATACCATCTTAATTGTTGTTAAATGCTGAGATATGAGACTTAACACTCAGGCACTTGTATTATAACATGACGAGATATCCAGTGATTATGCTGTGTTTAGAACCACATTGGGATTATTATTTTCCAAAATCACGTTTTGACGGAAACAGTAGTCTTGTTGCTTTTTCCAAAACCGAGTCCTCGCACTTTCAAAAGTGATTCCAAACACATTCAAAAAGCTCTTTTATAAGTGTAAAGAACCCCTTCAGAAACCATAAAAACATAACATAGCATGCCTATGATTTTCAGGGATTTTCTGTTGTGACATTAATTTATGTTTGCATCGGTTACTATGCAGTCAAACACAGCGTTGAGTGTACAGCAAGAGAAGAGGTTAAAGCAGATGGGGGCAACAGTTAGAAATGCTGGGTCATACATTGAGAGGCTGAAACTGAATGAAGAAAGGGAGAGAATGGCAAGAAATGTGATGGCAAAAATGACGGTGGAACAGTTATCTGAGCTCTTGACCTTTTATCACACGATGGGTCAAATATGTTCTGAGGTGTTGGAAAAGAAGTTTCATGAACTTGTGGTCAGCAATAATGACTTTGTTGGGTCATAGCCTTTTTTCCTTTTCTCTCTCTTGTTCCTTTGTCTTTGGGTGGCCATGCAAAGTAGGATCTATGGGACTCACGAGTATCTTGTTGTATCATAGGGTCCCAGCATGGTTTCTTCTGTTGTACATCTTTCACTCTTTTTCCTCTCAATGAAAGTGATGTTTGTTAGGGATACCCCTTTCTCTCTCTCTCACGCTCCTTCCTTTATGTTTCAAGCTGATCTGTTCATGGAACTTTGCCCTTAGTAACAGTTTCATTTTAAAAGAAACCAACAGGTGTCAACATGACAGACAAAAGTAGTATGGCATCCTTTCCAAGAATGGAATATTCTAATGTGAATCTTTTATGAATGTGTGGTCTCAAAGATGGACTGCTTATGGTGAGACCCCACACAAGGAGTTGGGACCCTGCCCACCCCTTTGTGTCTTGTTCTTTCCTATATAGGATAATGCCTTCGCTGGATGGGATTCAATCTTCTTTTTTTTTTTTTAAATGAAAAACTGAATATCGTACCTCAGAAAAAAGGAATACAAGAGCTCAAAGCTTATCTTTCATCAACTTCCTGTTGACTAAGAGGGGGAGGGTGGGATTCAATCTTAGATTCTTGTTTTTTTTTTTTTTTTGGCAAAAAAAGATGGTTGTTAAGATATAATGAAAATCCGTATATGGTAAAATTTACTTATATTTCTCGCTAAATATATTAATGCATGGATGGTGTTACAAAAGAAAAAAGGTTGTTAAAAGATTAGGAGTTCTATCTCACTATATATATATATATATATATATATATATAAGTAGGTGTGTATTTCCATATACAACAAGAGGTCTTATTAATTACATGGAATTAGCAACGTTGCAACGTGAATCGCACGAAATCATTGAACTCTATCCGTCACTAAATCTTTAGATAAATTATTAACTAAAAGTCCTATTCAATAACATCATTAAATATGCTCTCTAAGTTTTCCTCTATTCCTTGTCACAAGACTTCAAACCTTTTGATCTATTCCTTCGCTGCCGCATCTAATGGCCTTCTATGTGTATTTACATATGTATGAAAAAAAAAAAAAACTATTCATTAATAGGTACTTGACTGGACCCTTATTAGGACACTCCATAGACATGCAAAAATTGGTTCCAAAAATAATGATTAAGTGATTATTGATTAATTGATCAATTTCTCAATGGAAAACTCTGTCAACATAAATTGCTCATCCAAGAACATTGGACATAGTAACATTCTGATATGATGAAATATGAAGGCTTTGAAGAATTGTAATATATTCTATAACATGAATATATCGAAAAAAACAAAGGATTAAGTCCCATTTTTTTGGGCATTTAATATTTTTGCTTAATTGGCATAATTATTTGACTCAACGCAAGAAGCTCTGTTTTAGTCTAAAAACATATCTGCTTCAACTCTCAATGACGCATATCATCATCAGCTATATCAATTTGTCTACCTCTGCATATTATGTTTGGTGCAGGTGAGAGCCAGATTATTGCATAAATTGTTAATATTATAATATGTTCACTTCCCTTCATCAAGTTTTACACAATTGTTCATCAAATAAGTTTCATTGATAAAGATTAGGTTCTGTCAGGTGTCCTGTTTTGAAGGAAGAAAGCCTTCACTTTCAGAGCAGCAATTCATGAATTAGAATGGTCAGCTTGAGAAGGTGATCATGGCTGTAACTTTCTCAAAATCAATCTGCAGAAGCACGTGCTTTGGGATGTTAACTTCAAAAGCCGAACCTTTCAATTTCAGCCCATGAAGTATGGGCCTAGCCCAATACGATGCTCAGCTATGCTCCATAGTAAGGTGGTAGATGGGCTGGGCTGAGTTCCACTTAAAAACTTTTGCACTGAAAGCTTAGTGCATATCATCAATATAACACTAAAATCTCTTCTCCCAAGCTAACCTCACCACTCTAGCTCCGTTGGGGCTCGAGAAAATACTACTCATAAGGAAAATATGACTCGAACCCCAAACAAAAAAGAATGCATCGGGCTTTGTTTGAGCCCATGGCTTCGTTTTTTTTTTTTTTTTATAGTTAAAACAAATATCCTTCTATTGAAAGTAATCTTCTTCAAGGTATTGTTGGACACTAAATGTAAGCACTTCTTCCAGTGAGAATTTGAACTTTGATTCACCTCATTGTGAAAAACTAACCCTTTCTGTTAGACCCAATCCTGTTAGTAGCCCATGGCTTTGTTAATAACGTATGGGACTTCGTGTTTTGTAGGCCTTTTTGTTTTTTCCCTGTTCACTCATGAGGCTTCGTGTTTTGCAAATATGTTTCTTTCTCTTCATTCATGAGGCTTCGTGTTTCGTAAGCCTGTCTCCTTCTCTCCACTTTTCTTCCTCAATTGTTCAAATTTCATATTTCAAATTCCCACATTTTTCTTTCATATTGGATGTCACCCTTTGTCTCTCTTTTCCATATATCTTCCCAACCTTTACCACTTCTTCTTCATCTTCTTCTTCATCATTTATATGTTGCTTTTCTTTTATCCACTCACTCCCCCTTTGCAACCTTTGGTTTCAAGGAATTGTTTGACTTCATGATATTTGTTTGGTATTAAAGGCGTGAACCGTTTAATTGGTTGGAATCAAAATAAAATGATTCCTAATACAAAATTATACGATTTTAGTGTATCAAATAAGAAAAAGCATGTAATGATACATTGTTGCCATGATTACGAGATTTCTTTTGATGTGAAAGATGTGAGTTGCGTTGTTGATTGAAAGAAATTAAGATGAAATGCATGAATAGAAAATGGTTGTAGATAGTGGAACTGAACTTGAGAAGACTTCAACCAATATATAAAAAGCTTTTATGTATTTCTCAACACAATTAACAGCTCTGGATTATCACCACACAAGTTCATCTTGAAAATTAGAGTACATATCATGTTCTTATTATTCTATCCTCTGTAATGAAAATCAATAAAAGTCAAGGACAATCTCTATATCATGTTGCATTCTACTTGTCAAAACTAATCTTTACTCGTGATCAATTTTGTATTGCATTTTCTAGAGTTAAATGCATGGATTATCTCAAAATAGTTTTACCTGCATCTAGGAACGGGACAAAGAAGACTACAACTAATGCTATGTATAAAGAGATTTTTAGCAATGTACAAGGTTAAATTGTGATGTGAAGTGAAGTTGCTGATTGGTTGTATACATACTGCATTTATGATCCGTAGTGTGTCCAACTTTATTGTAACGTGAGGTTAAGCTGCTTCAAGCGAAAGTTAAATTTGTTACATCTTTTTTCACGTAGGATAAATGTATTCCTGAAGATGACATTTCCCGTACAGCGCGCGAGGATGGTGGAGCTAATTTGGGATAGCATTAATGAGCATCGAAAGTCAGTAGGAAGAACAAAAAGCTAGCTGTATAAAAACAACATGTTTGATGTGGATTTTGGGGTAACCATTTTTTTCAAAGTCACCTTGAAATCGAAGTAACTTTTTCTAACTTTTCAATTTTGACTTTTAGTTTTTTTTCTCAGGATTAGTCCAACTGTACTAATTTGGTACATTGAAATCGAGTAGCATTTTTATAGTTTTTTTTAAAATAATTTTCCTAAAAAAAATAATATGTGTAAATGCTGAGGAAAAAATATACTTGAAGAGCTAAATCTAAGGGCTTTATCTTTGCCAAACAAAATTGTGGGAGAGGATATTAAGAAAAATAATTATGGTATTTTAGGAAAAAAACATGTCATATTTTTTATAATTAACTAACTTACCTAACTTCCTTAATCTAATCAAATTAATTAAATAGATCTTATATTAAGGACCGGAAAAGTATATCAAATACTAAATGCTTCGTTTATTCTAATTTCTCATTCTACGGAGAGCAATGATCCACGTTCTATTTTGTGATCTATCTTATAGTTTTATTTATAATTTTCTTATCGCAATAAATGTTAGCATTATATATTTCAATCTTCGTCGCAAAAATTTAACGTATTCATCATTCGGTTCTCAAAGGAACTAATGAGAATGGTCAAGTCATTTCTAGTATTTCAAATGTCCATCCTTGTTGAAACCAGATTCTTCCGCTTCAATGCCCAACGTTTAAGACGAGATAGGGAAGGTTGGACCCCACACTAAATAGAGTGTGCCTCCATTTAATTTGGTTCGTTTTAATGATGGCTTGTAACAGTTGAGTGAAAACTAACTAGGCCAGAGGAGGTTGACAATAATGCAACTAAATAGTGGCAGGCCGACATATAAGGAACCATGAAATATGCAAGGTGGCAAAAAAAACACTGGAGTATGCAAAATCTTAAAATAACCTTGTGAAATGAATTATTATATGAAGTTTTTAAGAAGGGTTAAGTAAGAATTTTCACTGAGCTGAACAGCCAAAAGTTTTTATTTTCTGCGAATTTATCTCATAAGTTTAAAATTCTAATAATATTGTTCCCGATCATTAAAAATTTTAGTAGTCAATATTATTATTTTAATGGTCAATATTAGTAATATTAACAATTAATATTTTTAACGGCATTAGACAACACTACTATGATTTTAAATTTTTAGGGCAAACTTGCATCCTCAAAAAACGTTTTTAGGTACCTAGAGTTGCTGAGTAAAAGCTTTCAAAAGAAATTTTTACCATAACTCTTTCAAGAACCACTCGTCATATTTTATTTATAAGGGAGAGAGAAATTTTTGTTTTGTCATATTTATAGGGCAAAAAGAAAAATTTTTCTTTTTAAACTTTATTTATTATTTTATTGATTTTGTTCTCATAAAATATAATATATATTAAATAGAAGTAAAGTTAAAAAATTATTAAATTTTAAGACAATATTAATGGAGATTAAAGTTTTTTTATTTGTGTAAAACACATTGAAAATGACTTATTTATAAGACTAAATTAATATTTTGGAATTAACTTTTTCTTTTGTTAAACAAAATAAGTGCCCTGGTATGAAAAACATTATCCATCCGCCATTGATTGGTGGAGAGTTGCTGGCCATTGCCATGGAAGAAGTTCCAACCATCGGTTACTGTTGATTGGCGTCGGCATTGGAGAATTTTTTGGGGTTAAGACGGTCAAGGCAAGATTTAATATCGAGTACATGGTCTTTGGGTTATCAAAAAACTATATTACTATTGGGCCACTAAATCCTATT